GATTGCAGAAATGTTTATAGGCAGATTTGTTCAGGATCCGAATAACTGTACTTTTCACATAGACACTGCACCTCTGGGCCGTGGTTTTCTTCACTGTTACTGATTGCTCAGCACACGCTCGCAGCCCGCCGTCACGCATGCTCAGTGCCATGACGTAACCCAGTGAGCAATCACAGCATTGCAAGAATGTTTCTAGACACATTTGTTTACAAGCTAAGAAATCCAAACGGTAACTTTCATAATAGAAGCCCTATCTCCAGCACATTTTGTGTATGTTGCTGTGAGACCAAAAAGAAAAAAAAATAAAATTAAAAAATACAAAAGCATATCTTTGTACCGTGATTGCAATAACAGATGAATAAACATGCAACCTGATACTTCACATCTGGTATTTCATCACTCCAGATACCTTATTCACATTCAAATAGATTTAATACTGTGGAAACTTTATAAGGTAGTGATGTCTTTATAGAGTCAGTAACTTGCATGGAACTTTTAAAATTAAAAGCAATAGTAAAAATAATTTGTAACATGTTACTGTATTCTTCATAAAACTAGTTACCAAGCAGTTTCCTAACAGAAACCCAGAAAGACACCTAATCATAGCAGTTAGCTACAGAACCACACAAGCCTACAGAAAAGGATTTCTTTTGCCGATGTACTAGTTCAAAGTTCAATTTTAATATTCAATTTATACAAGGTGCTTTGGAAATGAAGACCATTATTACTCATTGTGCAAAAATTCTATCATCTGAGCAGAAATTTTATTGAAAGTATCATTTTCCCTTTACTGTCACAGTTACGCAGGCCAAGAGACTTTATGCATGACCTAATAAACATACACAACAGTTTTGAAAGGCTGCTATGCACCTTCTCACGTTAATTAGTACTCATTCTTCTCTGTAAAACAATGTGCTACAAAATTTCCTTTTAAAATAATCATTAATACACTCTTAGGTAGTTTTGTTGCAGAGATGAATACTTCTGATGCAAATCACAATGACTGATTTTATCTGTAATTGAAGAGCTGTTTACAGGTCTCAAAAATTTAGATCAAACTATTTTCTTCTCTTAAAGGCAAAAGCCACCTTTGCTACCTTGAGGCTAAGTTAGCAATGCTGACAGTAACACCTCTGCAGGCGCTATTATGCTTGCTAGCAACTTATGTTACTTTGGCATTGTCCCTAGAGCTGCACTAAGCTATGCCGTGCTACAGCTAAATATCAAAAAAAAGAGGAAAGCATGCACATGGGGCCAAATCCATTCCCGTGGTAACTCCAGTGACTTCAGTGTTACACCACGGATAAAAGTAGAGCTGCATTTCACAGCAGCTTTCATTCTTGTAATCTTTTCCAAAACACTCTCCCAGGAGCAAAGACAAGCACAGGCAAATATCCTGCCAATAAGTGAGTTCACAGGAATTGCTGCGAGTAACTAAACTGTCAGCAGTAAAAGACCAACAATTGGAACAAAGTACAAATACAGGACAGCCAATGCCCTCTAATGGGCTACAGTTTTACTGTGTGCTGGGTAAACCAGAACACAGAAATTCATTGGAATCGGTATCTGAGAGGGGAGACAAATTATAAGGTGTCCCGCTTCACACTAGTTATATTTGGGTTTTATTAATACTTCTTTTGAAACAAGACAGACAAAAAGAAGGTTCTTACCAATACCTTGCAAAACAAATGAAAATGTGTCCAAGAGTGGGGTCTTTCCTCCATTGGCTACGCTCAACTGCTCCCATAAAGAGTGTGCGCATCAGTTCACAGATGTGTTCCTCTACCCTCCTTCAAGCTTTCACATTTATTATCCTCTCATCTTTTTTCAAATTTAGGATTAGTCAATACTGTACTAGGAGCAAAACCAAAACTGTAAGACTGCCACAACCACACATGCACACAGAAAGGGGGAAAAGGAGTGACGGATAATGCTTTCCTGCAGAAACCTTATCGCTGCTCCCTCGGCCTTACAGCGCACTCCCTTTCTCTCAAGAATTTCCAAACTATGGTTCCTGGAATTTGTCCCTCTGAACCAAAACAAGCGTCTTTACTTCTTACCCAATCATTTCCTATGGATTTAAAAACAAGAGTTTCATTAAGTTTTTATTTTGTTTTCTGAGGGTTTCTTTGGGGACCCATAACGTTGTACTGATGGGAGGGTCAGCAGCAGCCTCACACAGGTCACGACTTCGTCCTGGTAGCCTGAGGATGCCCCAGGGCCAAAAAAGAGTCAAGACATCCCCTTCCTGCTCCCCAGCCACAGGGCCCTGCAACCCTCTTCTGTGGGAGTAGGATGGAAAGTCTTTTGTTCCTCTCATCCTCTGGTGCCGTAAGTTACTTTTTCTGGGAAGGCGAGGGGAGAGGAAAAGGCTCTCCCTTTCCCTTCTCTTTCCTCCAAGATCACAGCTGTAGAGGAACAGCTGAAGCGATCCAGGGTGCCCAGAGAGGTCACAGATGTCCCTCAGTACCACTGGGGAGGCTCTGCCAGCGTAAGCCACGCTGCTGCTGCCCAGGCGGCACCGTGGGCAGGCACCACTTGGCACTCACCCCACACACCCCCCGGATTCCAAGCCCCCCAGTCCTGCTTGAGAAATCTTCCAAGTCCTCCCGAGCCAACCGCCCAGGAGCCCTCTTAGAAACGTCACTTTTAAGGATGATTTTCGACCACCACAAAGAAGAGTGAAGAAACCTTGGCTTCTGCTTACATGAATGTTGCAAAGCTTTCATTAAATCAAAGGCAGAGACTTAAAATATTTCTTAAAGCAAAATCTCCGCTCTTCTCAAAGACTCTCTCCAAATATAAAAAACTATGATTGCTTAACTTAATTCACAGAGAGCGATCATTATACTTGCCTCCGTAAAGATCATATTTGTTCTAGTGCCTATATCTAAAGGTAATTTCAGTTAGAAAATGAAATGGTGCTCTCTTGACCTTTCGTCTTACATGGTTCATGAATTACTGACACATTACAATATCCCCCAACACTATGGAAGCTTAGAGATATTGCAATGTCTCTCTTGTAAGTGAAATAAATTTGGTATGCCACTAAAAGGCATTAAATTATTTTCATTATGCCACACAGAATCTAAAACACTTACACTGTTTTGATTTCAAAATCCTTGGAGAACAATTATGCTCTCAGGGCCATAAGACTCTATTAGAAAGTCCTCAGAAGCCTAGCATGGTTTCAATAAATCCTCAAACACTACAAAGCAGTTACTCAGCTTGAAGAATGAAAACATGAGTTCATCCACTGCAAAGTCAGGATGTAAATTCTGCTTTTACAGTACCCTGCACTTCCTAACACACTTTTTCTTCCCAATCAGGGTAAAACTTTAAGTCAAGTTTTCAGCATCATACACCCATACCTCCTCTTTGGATTGAAAAGAAATAAAATTTGATTTAGGATGCGCATAAATAGATGAGGTGTACATATACACTCATGGTACTACTAGTTAGCAGTATTAATCAGCAATTAGATATGCATAAATAGTTTTGTATGTACATAATTTGACAAATGTTAACATTCAGGATTAGAGAACCATTAAATTAAACCAGTGATTGTCAAAATGAATGGATAAATATGTTAATTTATTTAATTTATAAAACAGCATAAAGAATGCTTCAAAACACCAAAAATCAGATTTCAGGGGCGATTACTGTGGTTGTAGGGATCTCAATTTTAAAAAATGCAGCCACCTTTATTTTGGCTGATGAGGCTGCTGGAGTCTAAGTAGAGCTTCTGAGCATAAATACACAAGCTTGTTTGTATATACGTGCTTATGTCCTGCTAGGAAATGCACCACCTTCTAATTAAGTAAATCATGTCCCCTTTCCAAAGGAAAGTAACACCACCGAAACGCAATCAAAATAGGCAGAAACGGGCAAGAAGGAGAAGACAAGAGAAATTATATTCTCTTGTGCAGAGTGAGGAGGGAGGGAAGAGGGAGTGAGCAAAAAGCAAACACCCGGGCAGGAAACCGGGGCCCGGGAAGTTTCTGCCGAGGGCAAGCGAGAGGCTTCCCCACCGTTCGGTGTGGCCGCCGGGGTCGGATGGCAGCAGCGAGGGGGGCCGGGCCCTGCCTGCCCTCACCCCTCCCCGCAGTGTCCCTGTTTCCATGACCTCAGGAGCGGGGGGCGGTGCGGGGGCACAGCTGGTGGCAGCTGAAGCACCATCTGCTCGGGGCTGCGCCCCCGGCCCTGCCCCCCCCCCCCCCCCGCCGCAGGGACAGCCTGGCCAGGTAGGGGCAAGGTCGCCTGGAAGTGTAACCCCCGCCAGGGCACAGCGGCGGCCCCTCGTTTCCTGGGCACGAAAAGTTTGCAAAATGGGAAAGAAAAAGAGAACGAGTGAGAGAGAGGAGAGAGCCGGGCCGGGGATAGCTCAGGAGCCCGGACGCTGTGTGCAGATGTCAGCATCCTTCGATGAAATGCGTATTTATGGATGGCTGTCAGCACGTCATCTGATTGATAGCGGTGTGCAGGGAGGGAAGGGGAAAGGAAAGGGAAAAAAAAAAGAAGAAAGGCACAAAAGCACCCCTAACTTGGCTCTTTCATCGAGAGGCTTCTGACCGCAACAAGAACTTTATCACTTTGCAGTTTAATATTGCATATTCTGCCACGTGAACATGCAGACTGTAGTCACCATTTCTCTTTCTGCACCATTTATTGAAAAACAAAGAAAAATGCTTACTTTTTTATGCTCAAGGAGTGACACATTTTAAAGCTATTTTAAACATTCCCATTCAGCCACACCACAGAATTAATTTAAGACACAACTCTGCATCAATATTGCTTCCTAGTGCCAGTGGGGAAGGGATGGGTTTGGACAGTCCTGGGCAAGACATCAGCCCAGCTGAGCGCTCTTAACCTCACAGATCTCTTTAATATTTACTCCGTAAGTATCAAAATCAGAGCCAGGCATTTTGTATAAAAACAAGCTGCGCTTTGCAATTCTTACTGGCACAATTACTTCCAAGGGCTAAATGCATAGCACTTACCATACATTTTGCCTTCATCTGATAAGATGATTTTCCTCCTCCCACATGGTGGATAGATAGCTAGAGCCTCCTGAAAGCTCTGCTCAATGTCAGGGCTCCAGACACCTTCTGCATCGTTGTCAATAGGTTTATCTGCAGAATCGCTCATTCTTTCAATATCTTCGGCAGGACTCTCGCTGCCGCTCCAGCTGCTGGGCTCAATGGTGACGGCTGGGGTCTCCAAGCCTAAGCCTGGAGTTTTAAAGGAAAGAAACCTACAAAACAAACAAACAAACAACCCCAAAAGGCATTAAAGACATGGAACTTCAAGCAAACATTTCTGTCTACTTCTGACACTAAGTTAACAGCACCTGAGCAGCAATGACAATGACACGAGCACGGGAAGCACCCAGGAAAAGTGAAAAATTAATAACCATTCTACCTCAAATTAGCAGAAGTGGAGCAAATAAGGCTGTCAGAAGGGGCACTCTGTACCACATTTTCTGTGTGCAATTACATGATGGCATAGAGCGTCAGGTTATTTTTCACAGATAGTTAAAGTGGGTCTCAATACTGGGGCAGGCTCTGCAGCAGCACATGACACATTTCATCTGGCTGAAGACTGGCACCCTTAAAATAACAAGCCAGATGAGGCAAATCCTCAGATGAGGGCAAATCAGCACACTGCCACTGGCTGGAAGGGAAGCACACCAATTCATGCCACGGTGACCATCAGAGCCTAAAACCACTTAAATCTAAAAACAAAAGCAAAAACTATTGTTCACATCCATCCGGATGTCAGTGGAGTAAATGGAATTACACTAGCAATGACACAGCTCAATGTGATTAACTGAAAAAGGCTGTAATTTTCAGATCTTACCCAAATAAATAATACGAGCAGAATCTGAGCTGCATACAAACAGAAATCTTTACAATTATAATACCAGAGAAAGGAATTACAAGAAAAGAGACATACTTTGTTTCAAAAGGTCTCTCTCACAGAACCATAGCAGAACAAAAACTACAACCTTCAAGTTGCTGAATCAATTTAATAAGAAATAATTTAATATAGCTGCACCTGCTCACACCACCAGAGCTGCAGATCTGTCAATGTTCCTTTTATATTTTTGAGAGAAATACAACGCTGCTATAAAGACTTGCTCCAGGCAAAAAAGCTGCTATACCAGACCAAATTCATCTCTGGTGTAATTCTTCAGGAAGTCGGTGAAATAACACCGGGAACAGATTTGGCTCAACATGTCTAGGCATAATGCAGTTTTATTTTGAAAAACGAAGAAGTTTGGTGGCTCTAACTGATCTAAGTGGATGGGAGTGTTCAAACATGCACGCATGAGCTGCACATGCACTCAAAAATACAGTTAGTTGGCTAAACACTCAAAAACCCCCTAAACTATGACGTTGTTATTCTGCTGGGGGAGATGAAAGCGGGCCCTTCCTGCAGGCAGGAGAGAGGGGCTTCCCCTTCTGCACACCTCCATCCTCACACCGATACACCTCGCAGGGGGGTCTCAGTACTTCGTAAAATAACGGGTGAAGAGTGGCAGAACGGCATTCACCCCACGAGAAAACAGGGGAGGCCATGACAGCTCTGACAAAACACCTTTGGGCTGGAGAATTCCCTGAAAGAAGAAATATTTACAGCAGCCCTCACCCAAACTATCCAGTCACCCCATCACTAGAGATAACCAAAACCTGACAGTCCAGTCCCTCAGAGGCTACAGTGCCTTGCAAAAAAACCAGAGCTGAAATTGGGGAAACAGGGAGTAGTCTCTCAGTCTTGCTAACCACCAGTCTGGTGTCCAAAGTATGGGGTATTTCCATCTCTCCAAGCTCTACCAGGAGCTCGGAGAGATCAGTACATGCAAAATGGACTCCCAAAACCTTTATTTTCCTTACTTACTTACCTCTACAAAGAGGTATTTCTTGACTTTGCATTGGTTTGAACATTTCACCACAGTTTATGAAAATGTTAGTGCCTACCTACCAGTAATCTCAAGGCTAATCAGTGTCTCAAATACCTTTTAATAACCGATAACGAGGGAGCAGATGGATTCACAGGGAACCACATGCAAATGATAAGCGGGTGGGAAGTCTGGCCAAAACACCACTTACTGTCTGGAAAATCCAAAATGTACAAAATTGTTAAAGTCCCATCATAAAAGGGAGATGTAAACCTTTGTGTTATAGTAAAACACCATCCTTTGTGACCCTCAGAAGACTGAAGGGTTGATTCAACCCTGTTCAAGATTTGAACCTTGTAGGAAGGACTTAGCCAAAACACAGCAATACTGGGAAAGAACTGACAAAAACAATCATGTCCACTTAAGCCTTCAAATGCAGGGGGAATTTTAGGTAAATGAGAGGTAATGGAACGTTGACTGGGATAATTACGGGGGTTTCAGTTTTACTGCCACAGCGCAGGGAAAAATGGCTACTGGAGATTTTATTGGCCTCACATGCCTGAGACCACGGTTTACCATTTCACCAGATAGCACTGAGTGGGACTGCTCACTGGGTCAGTCCTTCCACGGTAATTTAGGGAGGAAACCTTTCCCCTCCCTGATGCCTGGCACAACTCATGCAATGTACAGCACGGCCACGGGCATCTTTCGCTCAGCCCAACCACCCTCTGCTTACAAAATGTGCCACAGTCATAGCCACAAGTCTTATTATCATCCTATAAACCAGCCCTTGTTATTATATTATGCTGAAATAATAATTAAAATGCACACAAGGAAAACAGAGAGGCTCTAGAGTAATTAATGTTACTTGATATTCGTGTTAGATCTTGCATTGTGTTTACTGGTGAATTTTCACTAATGTGCTATCTCCCTCTCCATTCCTTTTTACCTACTTGGATATCATCTTGAGGCATTAGTAGCTACTATTCCAGCCTCTAAAATGTAAGACAACCAACTGTTTCTTCCAGAACGTCTGTACAACAGGGGCAGGGAGGAACCTGTTGGAAAAATCCCTCTCATACTGAAGGTTGCTTTTAGTGATTTCCATTTTGGTGAATGCTGACGCTGCAGACCAAGCTAGAGGACCAAGAAGCAAAAAAACTTGTATTACAACCACTAAATAGCTCGCTCTCATTTCAGGAAAATAATGAGCTACTCAGTTAATCACTTCCAGCTCAGCTCTACATATCAAAAGGCAATTCCACTTCCCTTTTAGCTTGAATTCTAAGGACCCAACTGTGCTGAAAAATTTCAGACCTGTTATGCTGGAGTTCAACACGATTATCAAAAATAATACAAGCTGTCAATAGATGAGCTTTGTTGCACATTTGTAACGAGCTATATCATGAGAAAAATGTGGATTTACAGTCCAATTTAACTTTATAAAAAATTTAAACTAAAAACTGAAAAAGCAAGCCTTCCTTGTATTAGCAGACTCCAAATCTTACAATAACAACTTTCAGTGGCGGAAGAGTTAATCCCCTGGAGGCACTTAACCCCACCCCCACCCTCCCCAAAAGCAGGGCTTGCACACATGACAGATCAAGTTGAAGAGTTCTGTATTTGCTGTTTACCATGTTGACTTTTAAAGAACCAATTTCATGCTTGTACTTTCTGTTAACAGAATTAAAATACCTCAACAATACCCAGAAAACCAACCAAACTCCCCCTCTGCCCCCCCTCCCCCCAAAAAAGCTGAAAACCAAACCAGATTCCAGATTTTGTCTAACCTTTTTGTACTTTCTAAGATTGCTTAACACACTGCTGCAGTTTAGGAGGTCTCTCTTCAGAGATTCCCTTTTAATACCAGTCGCTCTCTCGGACATATTTAAAGACAGCTTTCCCTGTGCATAAAGCTCTTTCAGTTGCAAACCTGACTGCATCTTTCCTGCAGTTGTTTGCTACTTTCTCCAGTTAAGTCAATTCTAAGTATATCTCGTTTTCTTGTGTAGTTATTAAGACACTTTTTCTATGTATGACTGAGGTATGTTCCCCCTTCAAACACAGCAATGTTATATGTAGCAATGAAGAAACTATTAGGGACAATATGGAATTTTATAAATAATTTTATAGCAAATCCATTCAATACAGCTTCATGAGGTACAAGATAGGACTTATTTTCATTATGTTCACTTGGTAGAGTAACTTGAAAAGTTATTTTAAAAACTCAGGGAAACAAGGACAGCTATTGTCAGAGCTGATCAAACCAATGGATGTAACTAAAACCAAATGATAGTCTGCAGTATCTTATGAAGGGAATGATTTCTTTGCTTGCATAAAACATTCTCTTATGCCTTCACTTTACGAGCAATGCAAACCTGGACTTGCCCAGAAAGTTGCTTCTCACAGACCAACAGCTGAGAGCAATAGCTCTTCACAGGAGTGTAGGACAAGTGCAGATTTAAGGCCTTGATATGTTTCATATCCCTCAATACTGGCATGATGAACTAACATGGAAACACTGTCTTTCAAAAGTCGTCAGAGCTGAATCTTATTGTACAACATCCTGCAAAAGTTAAACCATTTTCTCTGATCAATTAATTTGCTGTCTTGAATATCAGTGTACAGGTGCCAAATGGTGCCTTCGGTAAGGTATGGCTAGCATATACACATAAGCACTGGATTAATACACTGCAAGCACTGGTGCAGGAACACGAGAAAGACTAAAAACATGCCTTGATTCTGAGAGCTCTCTGAGAAAAAACTTATTACGTCTCTCCAGTCTTCTAAATTGTGTCTGCTTGAAGGAGATCAAGTGCAGATATTTTTCAGATAGTCTGCAATGGCACCTGCAAGAATTTGCAGGTGAGAAAGCACCAGTGTTATAATTCACACTGATCTTCTGGCTATGAATGGCTGCAGAAGGCCATTTGGCTCCAAATAATTCTTAAAACCAGCCCAATATTTCTAAAACAGGTCTTTCAGGAAAATCTTCATTCTTGAGTTAAAAATTCCGAGTGTTGAAGTAGTAAATTACTCTTTTATGAATACATTTTATTTTTAGTTCATGAACAACTTCATTTTAGCTTCAGTTATATAAAAACAATGGGACCAGGAATCTAACAAGGTTTCTGTAAACATAATGAGATGAGTAAAAACCAACTAATTCTAAATTTGCAAATGGCAAATTTTCTCTCAAGGACTGAAAAGTTACAGGCCCATGGGATTTTCCTTCTACTTTGTTCAGCAGTGCAAGTCCACAGTTGAAGCACTAAGGCTTCAGGAAAGAACTGTTGGAGAGAATCCAGAGGAAGAAAATTATCAGATC